AGCAAAAAAAAAAAAAAAAAAAAAAAAAAAAAAAAAAAAAAAAAAAACCCTCCCCCCCAAAAAAAAAAAAAAAAAAAGTAAGGAACTGTGTGATTTTGCCGTTCACTCTCATTTGCTGTGGCTCGTCGGGATTGAGGGCAGGAGGAGTGCCACCCCGCTGCCATGGTCCCGGTTCTTAGATTCACAGTTCTGGGTAATTTAATCAGTGTCTGTACGGGACCTGATTCCTCGCCTCACCTCAGTTTTTGCCTATCCAAAATGGTAGTGATAGGGCTAGGTCCAATACAGAGTGGTTATCTTAGGGAGAGAAGAATATCGTTGGTAAACAGTTACGATTGTCCTGTTAGACACACAGGCAGCAGGAACTAGCCAGGATGTTGGAACATTCTTAGGGCAGATAAACAAGCTGCCAGCAATTCCTCTTCACTCTGCCCACAGAGTAGCTGGCCTCCAGCTTGTCCGCTATCTGTCAGCGGGCGGGCCAGACCAGGGTGGTGAAGGCCCTGTTGTTCACCTTCTGACCAGTAAGGGGCTGGGGCTGGAGGATTTTTTTTTTTTTTTAAAGTTTGCTTTATAGGTTATGTGTGTGCGTTGGAAAGAGAGAGAGAGAGTGAGAAATCACCCCCCAGCGGGGATGGCCACACCTCATTCCCTTCTCCCTTTTTTTCTTGGGATTTTGAGCACACGTACACACGTGCCCAGTGTGTTTTTCAAGTCACCAGATCTGGGACTTGAACCACGCTGTTGGTCACATGGGATCCAGCCACCTTAACCTCTACACCACCTGCTGGCCCTCTCATTTTATCTCTGAAGTTGACGAGCAGCCTGCCCGTGGAAGAGGACGTTCTCTTGGTGCATGTTGTCTGCTCTCTGGTCTCGGTATGGACTCCCTCTGGGGATAGGCAGGCTCCCAGCACAACACGCAGGAGCTCCCAGGGTTTTCCTCTAGAGACTCTGCCGAGGGAGTGGAGGGGGCGCCCCATGGATCGAGCGTAATGGTCTTATAAGGGGAGCTTTCTTAGATGAGCTTAGGGGGACTCCTCTAAGAAATGCCTCATGGATCCGAGGTGGGCCTCGGCCTTCCTAGGTGGGGTTTCCCATTTTATTTCCCTACTCCCTGACACAGTGCTTGACTAAGGTGCTCAGTGAATATTTGTTGAGTGATGTAAAATTGATCAAGTCTTATGAATCCTCAAGGTCCTTGAAAGTGTTTGAAAATTGTTTTATCCTGGTTTTATCAGAAGATTATCTTCTGCCCTTTTGATGCCGACTCGGGGCCCTGTTCATTTGGGAGCGTGGACGAGAACACTGCTTTCATGTATTTAATAGGGGAGGCGAGAACCGGAAGATAGTGGAGCCAGCAGCCCGCGGGAAGTGCCTTCCGTGACGTGACATTGAGCTCCCGAAACAGTCGCACCTTTCTTTGGGGGAAGATGGTTCTTTAGAGAGAGAGACTTTTTGCTATAGGGTGCATGCACTCGCCAGAGAGATGGAGAGAGACAGAAAGTGAGAAATCACTCCCTGGGGGATGGCCACACCACAGCCCCTTCTTCATTCTCCTCTCGGGATTTTGGGCACACACGTACATGTGCTGGTCTAAGAGCCTGCACCTCCTGTGGGTAGGAACCTTGACAGAGGTTAGGGAGGGGCGATGGAGTCCCGATTCCCATATGTCTGAGGGACATTTGAGGAGGAGCAGGGTGGCTGGAGCGTGAGGAGGTGCACTAAGCAGAGCAGGCTCACGTGTTCGAGGCTCCCACCTGTCCAGAGGCAGAGCCCAGCTTCGGTGTGAGCAGCTGTGGCAAAGGGGAGTGATCCATATCCATCCTCGCTGGAAATGGCTGTTCTCCGAGTGGCTTTCAGAGACGGTTCCTACCTGGTCTATCTGCGTAACTTGGGAATCCATGTATCTCAGAGAAGGAAGAATGGGGAGGTTTTTAAAAATAGTTTCAAGGGACCAGCAGTTAGCGTAATTGGCTATGTCGCTGGACTCCCATGTAGTCGACCGCAGTTCGAGTCCCAGACCCAGTGGCTTAAACTCACACCAGGCACGTGTGCGTGCATGCCCAAGATCCCGAGGGGAGAATGAAGGAGAAGGGATTGCAGCGTGGCCATCACCCCCTGAGGGGGTGATTTCTCATTTTCTGTCTCTGTCTCTCTCTGTCTGGCAAGTGCATGTGCCCTATAGCAAAAACCTCAAAAAAAAAAAAAAAAGTTTCAAAGGTCTTCCCGTCTCCACTCTCGGCAAGGGAAAAACACCCGAGTCTAGTCAATGGCCGCTGACTAGAAAGGCGGGTGGGTCTCCCGTTCTTGAGGTAGCACCCATCCTGGCAGCCTATGTTACGCAGCTGAAATGAACGATCCCTTCCAGGGGTGAATATTGAGAGTGAACCCCCAGATGACAAACTGTAACTGTTTCAGAGACGTGAACACAGCTGTGATGGAGTTACTGATCATGGCGTATGCGCTGAAGACCGCCTGCGCCAGGAACATCATTGGCGTCATCCCGTACTTCCCCTACAGCAAGCAAAGCAAGATGAGGAAGAGGGGCTCCATCGTGTGCAAGCTCCTGGCGTCCATGCTGGCGAAAGCAGGTGCGTGCCGAGACCCGGGCGGCTCTTCATCCAGGGCCCTCCCCTGTTCGAGATCAGTCCACACCTCAGACGTCTAGCTAGAGTCCCGGTTTTTTACGTGGTGGTCACGGATTACCTTTTCTTAGGTTTCCTCTTGTAGAACTGGATCAGAGATGTGTGAGCTTAGGTCTAAATCCTTATTTTTCTCTTTCCTCTTTGTCTTCCTTTAGTCACATCACTTCAGTGTTTTTTATTCTTCTCTAATCATGGACTTAAAAAAATTGTTTTCTCGCTTCTTTTCCATTTCATCTTGTCCTTACTGAAGTTTTAGCTGGTGCCCTTTTGAGCTTCATGTCTAGATTTATGTATTTGCCATAGTTAGTTAAATTCTGCTTGATCTCCCGAGTCCCAGAAGCAGCTTTTTCTTTGACGACTTCAGCTTATGTATCCCGTCCCTCCTGCCCGAGGGCCTTTCTGTGTAGCTGCTCCTTCCCATTGCCCTCATTCTCAGCGCTGGCCTATCTTCTGGCCTGTAAGCCAGGTTTAATACTACCTTATAGTCACTGAGTTTTTATCTGTCTCTTATTTTAAAACTCCTAACATAAGTTGAGTTCTCAGGAAGAAACATATTTGAATTCCCTTCTCTATAAAAGGTGTAGTGTTTTTGGACGGAACAAGTGACATTAGTTCTTCGCTCTGGCAGTTTTATAGTGACCTCTAGCTGTGGGCACTGTATTTATGGCTGTATCTTTGGCCGGAAGAGTGTGTCTTCAGAGGCCAGCGGGCGCTGTCGTTGGGGTGACTCCCACATGGCTGGCCGCGGTCTGAGTGCCGGACCTGGCGGCTTGCTTTCTCACTTTCCCTCTGTCTCTGGTGAGTGCATGTGCCCTATAGCAAGTTTGAAACAATAGTAGTAGTAGTAGTAGTAATAAAATTAAATGATTCTTTAAAAAGTGGTTTAAAAAGGTATGTCTTCATTGTTTCTCTGAGAATACTTCTTGAACCATTCTTTAATCACATACAGAAATTGTTCAAACTTCATCTTGTCTTATATGAATTTTTTTCTTCTCACATGCCTCCTATTACTTTGCTTTTGCTTTCTTATTCCTACGCTAGTCATAGTTCATTAACACTCCTTTGTAGAGTCTTTAATCAAGGCCTCACTGTTTTTCACATTTATTATTGCTTAGATATTTAATTTCATATTTGCATTTTTCCTTTTCTCTATTTTCAGCACCAAATAATAATAAGAGCAGAGGAAAGCATGTTTTCCTCAGCGTTAGTTCTTTGTTCGTGTGGAATGTCAGGTTTTTCACGTTAGGCTTAAGACACTAAATTGTTCGGTAAGCCCGTCAGTCCCAAACTTGTCCGCCACATCCCCTGCCGCCAGTCTCCTGGTAGGGCACAGGAGTTGCGTATCTAGTTCGTGTCCGCTGTAGCCATTAACCTGTAGGATGAACTTTGTAATTTTTTGTTTTAAAATTTCAGGTCTAACTCACATTATCACTATGGATCTCCATCAAAAGGAAATACAAGGCTTTTTCAGCTTTCCCGTGGACAACCTTAGAGCCTCTCCTTTCCTGCTTCAGTATATCCAGGAAGAAGTGAGGAGCCGCCACAACCACCCCATTGCCCTCAAAGAGACCCCTTTAGTTCTGCCCTGGGATCAGATGTCAAGATCGAAAGGCCCTCAGATGGTCTTTCCTGTCAGTCTTAAAGCCAGAGGCTGCAGAGAGGGCCAGCGTTTAGTCAGGGAGGATCCTGTTTTTAAAAGGCCTTACAAATGTGTTTCCTTCTAAGTAACTTTGGCTATTTGCTTATGTTTTCTAGAATGAAGGTGTTAAGAGTTCATTTTTATTTTCTTGGTGTAGCAATGCTTTTTGCAGTGCTGTTAATTGATAAATGTTGAAGAATGTTTAATGTATGAATGAAATTCTACCATACGTGGTTGCTTTTTGAATCATTCTTGTAAGAGGAGAAAAGTAATAGCAGTATCCAGATGTTATTTTTGATAACTTTTCAGTATTTTTGTTTTTTTCTCCAAATCTAGATCCAAAATTACAGAAATGCAGTCATTGTAGCTAAGTCTCCAGATGCTGCGAAAAGGTAAAAATGAGGCATTTGTACAAGTCTCTGGGGCACTTCCAAAGTCAGAGCTAGTGGGGAGCCCAGGGCTACCGCAGCATGACCCAGGAAACGTGGTTCTAACCCAAACAGCATGAGCAGATCGAGTTGTCAGTTTTCCTCCGGGAGTATATAAAAGTTTTCCCTCAAGTTCTCAGGAAAGGAAAACAGTGGGGCTCTGAGCACTTTCTGGGCAGTAGCTTCTAAGATGACTGTTAGAACACTGGACAGATGAGACCAGCAGATGGTGTAATGGTTATGTCGCCGGACTCCCATGTAGTTGACGGTGATACGAATTCCAGATACCAGGTGCCTGTGCATGCATGCCCAAGATCCCTAGAGGAGAATGGAGAAAAAAGGATTGCAGTGTGGCCATCCCCGTGGGGGTGATTTCTCACTTTCTGTCTCTGGCGAGTGCATGCACCCTATAGCAAAAATCTCTCTTAAAGAAAAAATACTGGACAAAGGATAGAGCCAAAATGATCTAGCAGCAGGCACTGGCCCCGATACCAGCTCACGCACCTCCTGCATTCTGGCCTGGGCCCTGCATTCTGATTGTGTAAATGACCCTTCGTGTGTCTCTGACACATTGAATGCTGTTTTCACTTAGTGATCCATTAGCAATGCTTAGGTTTTCTTTCCTCTGTCGTAGAGCCCAGTCATATGCAGAGAGGCTGCGCCTGGGGTTAGCTGTAATCCACGGAGAAGCTCAGTGTACGGAGCTGGACATGGATGATGGCCGTCACTCTCCCCCCATGGTTAAGAACGCTACCGTGCACCCGGGCCTGGAGTTGCCATGTAAGATCAGCTCTGTGACTTTATTTTATCTGTGAATGGAAGAAAGCTTTAGTAGTGGGAATGGCTAGGAGTTAACGGCTGTGCGGACACTGGCTGACATTCTATTGAAGTAGTGGGAGGTCTTGCATCGATCTCCCCCTTAACAGGAGACTGGACGTATTGTACATATTTTTAGATTGTAAGGACTGTTGAGCTGATTTGAGTAACACTCGGAATTCAGAGAGCTTGCTTTAGTAAAAAAAAAAAAAAAAATATCTGTGTTGGTGTGAAATTTTTAGGTTTATACAGTACGTCCCCTGCTTCTCTGCACTTTCGTGTTCTGAGGTTTCAGTTACCCATAGAGCAGTACGTTTTGCTTTTTTTAAATTTTTTTTAAGAGAGATTTTTTTTTTAAAGAATTATTTAATTTTGTTTATTCGTTTATTTTATTTTGACCAGAGAAAGAGAGAGAGGGATAAAGCAAGCCCCAGGTCCAGGACTCAAACCTTGGTCGACCACGTGGGAGTGTCCAGCGTCTTAACCACCACGCCACCTGCTGGTCCCATTTAGAGATTTTTGCTATAGGGCATGGGTGCTCACTGGAGAGATAGACAGTGAGAAATTCCCCCCACACCCTTTGCCCAGGGTGATGGTCAAACCACAGTCCCTTCTCCTCTACTCTTCTCTCAGGATCTTGGACACATATGCACACAGGCCTGGCATGAGCTTTAAGCCTCCAGGTCCAGGACTCAAACCACGGTCAACTATGTGGGAGTCCAATGCCATCTGCTGGTCCCTACACACATTTTAATTCTCTGTAAGGTACTTGTGCTTACAGGAGAAAGAGAGAGAGAGGGAAAATGAAAAAGCCACATTCCCTCCCCCTTCGTTTTCTTCTCGAGATTTTGGGAACACACACACACCCCTCGCTTGTTTTTCAAGCTATTGGCTCTGGACTAAAACCACACAGGCAGCCATGTGGGATCCAGTCACTTTAACCACCATGCCACCCACCTGGCCCTACATTAAGGAAGCTGGAACAAGGACAGCGAGGGACCACATTATATAAATTTTTTCACAGTATATAATTGTCTTATGTTGTTATCAGTTATTGTTGTTAATTTCTTACTGTGCCTAAGTTATAAATGAAACTTTATCAGAGGTATGCATGTGTAGGATAAACACATATATATATATTTAAATATGGAACGCTTCATGAATTCGCGCATCATCCTTGCACAGGGGCCGTGCTGATCTTCTCTGTATCGTTCCAAGTCTTTAGTATATGTGCTGCCGAAGCGAGCACAAAACATGCTTTTTATATCCAGGGTCTGTTACTCTCTGCGGCTCAGAAAGAGTATTGGACCTTCTGTCTGCAGACGAGGGATGGGGCCCTGCTTTTGGTAAGATGGCTGATAGCGGCCATTGAGCAGACCCCAGACCTGGCCATCAGTGACGCACAGTGCCTACTTTGGTAATAAAACCCTTTAACACGATACCTGCCTCCCTTCCTGTTATGAACCCAGCTGTGTGAAAGCTATTTACTTACATGGCAATCACTGCATTCTACACTGCAAGATACACTTATGATTTTTAGGAGGAGGAGATTATTTCTTTTTAAAATCTGTGTGTGTTTGTCATACCTCCAAATCGTGGAGCTTAGAGTGAAGAAAGAGCAGAATGGTCCCACCTGGGGTTGTTTCAGACGGGCTCCTATCTCAGGTACAAGCATTCATTGCTTTAAGTTCAATGTCAGAAATTTTTACATGAGAGAAAATAAGTAATACGCTTTTTCATTTAAATTGTTGGTATCAGGATTTTATTTATTTTGTAAGGATTTCACAATTAAAATTCTCGAATACATACTATAGCCACATATTTCAAAGTCACAGCAGTTTAAAATCCTTCGTAGTGCAGAGCTTCCTGGCCGCCCCCAGCCTCTGGCCTTGCCCGCGACCTTGGGCGCCTTGGGTCTCCACTCAGAGACTTTGTGTGTACATTAGCAGATACGGGTTTCTCGTTCTCATTTCCACATAAATCCTAGTATAATGTATACATTACATGTTGTACTGCTCCTCCCGCCCTCATTTATAAAATGATTATTTTAAAATTTATCTTTACTTATTTATTTATTTATTTAAATTTGGCCAGAGACGGGCAGAGAGATCGAGAGAGAGAGAGAGAGAGAGAAAGCTGCCAGGTCTGGGACTCGACCACAGTCGGCCATGTGGGAGTCCAGCACCTTTAACCAACATGCCACCTGCTGCCTATTATTATTATTTTTAAGAGAGATTTTTGGCTATAGGGCACATATGCTCACAGAAAGAGACAGACACAATGAGAGAGAAAGTGAGATATCACCCCCTGGGGGAGATGGCCATTCTGCAGTCCCTTCTCCATTTGCCTCTCGGGATTTTGGGCACACACACATGCACCTGGCATGCGGTTTAAGTTGCTGGGCCTGGGACTTGAGCAGGGGTTGATGCATGGGAGTCCAGCGATGTAACTGTTACACCATCTGCTGGTTCTTTGTTTATGAAATTATTCAATAACTCTTCTCGATCACTACATACAGATTTATTTACTTTATAGTTTTACAGTAGTCTAGTTTATGGATAGACCACGATTTATTTCATCAGGCCCTGTTGATAGATACATTAGTATTTTTGTTTTTCACTAGGAAGAATGAAGCTCGGTCACAAAACCTCTGCAGAGCCTGTTTATACACCAAGCGCTTATCGAAGCGTGGTCGTGGATCATTGTGTGGTCTCATACAGCCCTGCTGTGGGGACTGTCCCTTACTCTGCTGACCCAGGAAGCAGACACATAGCCAGCCAGGGGCTGATAAAGCCAGGGTTGGAAAACCACTTTGTGGGTTTTCTTTTCTTTTTTTCCTTTTTTTTGCTTATTTTGAACGAAATTCAGATACAGAGAAAGGTTGAAAGCACAGTGCAGATTTCTACTGTACTCTTCATTCAGAGTCCCTGAAGTTAGCGTTTGGGTATATATTAGTTTATCTTTTTAAAATTTATTTAAGTTTTGCTGTAGGGTGTGTGGGCTCATTGGAGAGAGAGAAAGATAGAGAGCAAAAGTGAGAAATCCCCCCACCCCAGGGGGGATGTCTACACCACAGCCCCTTGTACTTCACTCAGGATTTTGGGCACACATGCACATGTGCCTGGCATTTTTTTTTTTTAAATCTACTGAGTCTAGGACTCGAACCATGAAGTCAGCCATATGGGATCCAGCTACCTTAATCTCCAGGCCCCTGGCTGGGCCTTTTTAATCTTTTAAACCATGTGTGAGTTGCGAATGTAATCCTCCTTTATTCCTAAGTATGTCACTCTATGTTTCCTAAAAACAAAATATAATTGTCAGACTCAGAAGACCAACCTTGTGGTACTATTATTATGTAACCTCCAGGCCTCAGCAGTTGTCCCACAGTGCCCTTTGGAGTGAAAGGAAAACCTTGTTTTCTGGCCCCGGACCTGACCCGGGGTCACACTGCATTCAGTTGTCATTTCTCTTTAGTCTCATTTAGTCTGGAATGGCTCCTCTGAACTCCGTCTCCTGTGACCTTGATGCTTTCAAACAGTACAGGCCAGTGATTCTGTAGACTGTCCCTTAATTGGGGCTTGTTTGTGTCCTTGTGATGAGATTCCGACTGTGCATTTCTGGCAGGAGTAACGCAGGAAACACGTGATGTGCCCCGTTGCTGGTGGCGTTGATGTGGACCTCTGGTTAGGGCCGTGTCTATACGGTTCTTTTCCCTGTGAGGGGCGTCATTTGTTAAGGCTGTGCAAATGTTGCTCATAAAACTTGGCAGCTGTTGATTCTTACCCGAATCAGTTTGTACTAATTGTTTTCAAATGCTCATTTTTCTAATTCCCTCCTTCCTTGAACATCTGAGGGTTGACATTCTAATGTAAGAACGCTGTTTCCTTTTCGTTCGTTTTGTCAGTATGGGTATTTTATTCATTGGGTTATAGTTCCCTGCTGTCGTATTTCGGTTGTCTCTGACTTGGCCATAGAGAACTCCACCCTCCTGTGTCCTTTGACACGCGCCCATCATTTTTGGGTACTTCCTCCTGTTCTGGCGTAACTAGACGGCCCACGTGCCTCTCGCACTTTCTGTCCAAGGTGTGCGATGCCTTTTGTGGAGAATGGCGTTTGGAAGTCGGGGTCTGAGCTGCCGAGCGTACGCGTTCCGTTTCTGCACATCCCCGCCTGTGCCTAACCTCGTCTTAACCCTTCCATAAGTGACTGTCTGTACAGGCTAAAATCAACAAGATACTGAGTCAGAGACGACTCCGTTAGATGTTGCCACGTGAGGGGTAGCACGATGTTTCGGACGGCAAGATTCTCCATCCCGAGAGCTCGTCTCGTTACTTACGGCTGTGAGCAGTGTACCACTTGCAGTCTTCTCTGTGCATCATGGGAGCACTGTAAAATAATGCAGCCCTTCATGCATGCACTGGTACGTTTGCAGTGGTTTTTTTGTTTGTTTGTTTTTGGGTTTTTTTGGTTTTTTTTGAGAGAGCTTTTTGTTACAGGACAGATGCACTCGTGGGAGAGACAGAGAGAAACAGAGAGACAAAAGGCAAGAAATCACCCCCAGGGGAATGGCTATGCTGCAGTTCTTTCTCCATTTTCCTCTTGGGGTTTTGGGCATGCGTGCACATATGCCTGGTGTGAGATGTAAGCCACTGGGTCCAGGATTTGAACCATGGTCAGCTACGTTGGAGTCAAGTAACTTAACCATTACACATCTGCTGGTCCCTACAAGTTTTTTTAAATTTTATTTTAATTTAATATAGTGTGCATGTGCTCACTGGAGAGAGACTTGAGAGAGCAGTAGAGAGGGAAAGTGAGAAAGCACCCCTCAGAGGGGGTTGCCATAACATAATCCTTCTCCATTCTGCTCCTGGGGTTTTGGACACGCACACATATCCGGTGTGTTTTTCAGGCTGCTGAGTCCAGACTTGATCTGCAGTCAGCCATATGGGATTCAGCCACCTGAG